CAGGGACGTCCAGATCGGCGACATTGTCACAGTGGGCGAGTGCCGGCCCCTGAGCAAGACTGTGCGCTTCAACGTGCTCAAGGTCACCAAGGCTGCAGGCACCAAGAAACAATTCCAGAAGTTCTGAGACTGGACTCCTTTGCCCACTGCACCAAACAAAATAAAGTTATTTTCCCAGTTACAGGCCATGCTCTGGGTATCTGGCTCCTTACCAGAGGGTGGGGATGTTCCTGGGAATTAAGTGGGGTTGGGTGAAAGATGGGGTTCTCCTTCATCTTTTGGGGCCCAAGGATGGGAGTGGGGACCAAATCCTGCCTCCTGCCCTCTCATTTCTGGGTATAGACAAAACCCTGCGTTGAGATGCTGTTCGTCTCTGGGCCTTTTGGTCCCTGTCACCTTTCAGTGTCAGAGTAAATAAGGCCTCAACCTTTACCTGGTGTCAAGCTCCCCCCCGCAAGTCTCTGGGGAGGAAGTGAGGGAGGGTGGAGGTTCCTGGGTTCTTTAGGCTCTAGGCCCTTTCTGGCCTCCATGGGGAGGGGGAGGAAGAAGTAGCCGCCACGGGAGGGTTGGGGGAGGGTGGGCTTGAGCTCATAACTGCCGGTTTCTGAACTATGAGTCTTGACCTCAACCTGGGACTGTCTTCCCCATCAAGGAAGGAGTCCGGCACGGCACCCACCTTCCCTCCTGCCAACCCCACCGCTTCCTCCTAAGTGGGCACCAGGCCCATTCGCAGATGAGCAACCTCATCTAAGGGGCAGGATCTCTGCCTGGGCTCCCAGTGAGTGGCTGAGCTCCAGGATCAGAAAATGGGCCTTGAGGGCAGGTCACAGTGAGACCATCCCAGAACCCAGCTCTGGGGTCGCACGCCAGTCAGAAATGTGTAGAAAGTCCCTGGAGGTGGGACAGAGCGGGTGGGGAGAAATGGGACAGAGTCAGGCAAATTGTAGGAAGATTTCTAACGGCCAGACGCAACAACCTTGAGAGTCAGGGGATATGGGGAGAGCTTGATTATAGGTCACAGCAGAAATGCGTTCTGTTAGGAGCAGAGAGACCTTGAGTGTCAGATATAGAGAGGGAGAGATTCAGGACAGCGCTCAGCTGGACGCTAAACGGGGATGGAGACCACAGCTAGGAACAGGTACAGATGGACGTGGAGTACCAGGCAGAGTTAAGAGATGAGCACGGGGTTGATGAGCAGGAAGGTGGCAGGTGCAGACTGAAAAACAAGGAGAGGGAGACAAGGACTCGGATTTAAGACAGACTCTCACCCAAGCCACCGCCCCAGAGCTGGAGGCACAGAGATAGAAGGGAGGTGCAGGAGTTGCCCCGCTGACTTCACCCCTGGGGCCTTGTGCTGCTGGTGTCCCCAGGTCCCTGCCCCCCATGCCTGTACCAGGGACTGAGGCACAGCACTGGTACAAGGGTTGGGAGACAGGGCCGTGAGGAGAGAGGAGCCGCTGCTGCTGCCGCTGCTTCCAGGGACGCTGCCTCTGGACCACCCCAGCGGCTTCTTTTTACCCGGCGAGGGCGGGGGTTCCTGCCAGAGGAAGTGGGGCCGCATCAAAGAGGGCAGGAAGGGGCAGGGACAGGTCAGAAGGGGGCACCGCCCCGAGCTTCAGCCTGTGAGCTCGCCCCACCCAGTGCTGGAGGGGTAGAGACCCCCAGCAGGGGGACGGGGACCCAGAGAGAGCAGGGAGGTGGGGACAGATGGAGGCAGAAGACAGAGCTAGAGAGAGGAGGGGGAACAGACAGACAGGGATCCGAGGCCGCTCCAAGAGCCCCCACCCGCAGGTGTTTCCGTTTGGGGTGGGGCCACCATGTTTACAACAACAACAGCCCAGCTCCCCTGTTTCCTCCCAGCGGTGTGTTGCTGGGCGTCTCCTTGGCACCCCATTGTCAGGCTGCCTAGTGTCAGGTGCAGCCTGCGCCTGCTATGCATCAGGGGACACCTGACAAGCCTGGTGGGTCAGTTTGCAAGAACCAAGGAGAAAGCCCCCCAGACTGTACCAGTTCTCTGGTCTGATGAGTGAGATGAAGACTGTCCCTGCCCTCAGAGCCCAGGGACAGCTAGAGACACAATTGCTGAGCCCAGATCCCAGCCTCAGAGCTTCCCCTCTGCCTACATGGCTCTCCTGCCACTGTCCCTCAGTCTGTGCACCCGCAAGACTAGCTCCCCTCTCTGAGCCTTCGCACTGGCTGTGCCCTCTACTGGGAAGCTCTAACCCCAGGTTTCCACCTGCCTCCCTCCCCTCATTCCTTAGTCTCATCCTCACAACCTGTTTCCACTTGGCAAAACTTCCCACCCTTGCAGTCGCCCTTCCCTGCCTTATTGTCTTACAACAGACCTGTTCATGGCATATTCGTGTATTTCTGGTGAAAATCCTGTATATTGCATATTGATGGATTTACCAGTTAACCCCTGGAATACAAGCTCCAAGAAGGCAGGGGTGTCTGCATCTCCAGGGTCTGAGGCCAGCTAGCTGTAAGTGCTCTACGAGTGTTGAGTTGAGTGAACAAATTCATCTAAAGTTCAGTCCCCACATTCTCATGGGGCGGGCTTGAACCCTGGGTATCAAGGCCTGGAGTAACTGGAAGCAGTGAACTTGCACAGAAACCTCCAGTGTAAGCCCTGAGACTGCAGGCTCTGTCCCGAATTCCTGCCCTGCTGCTCATTAGCTGTGTGACCTTGGACGTGAGCCCCCTTCCCAGCCACAGCACTTCAGTCTCCTAATCTGTAAAATCTTGCCCCTCTGCTGCATTGGGAGAATGAGATATTCTCACACGTGTTATTGAGGTAGAACTAGTCCTTGTAAGTGACACTTGTTAGGGAAGTGATTATGCTGCAGTCTTGAGCCTATTGTCAGAGAAAGGCCCAGCAGACCCAAGGACAGGGTCTTTGGCAGGTGGCCCCAGAGGTGTTACATGGTTGTGGAATCCTAGTTCTACTCTAGCAAATCCTGGTAGTTTGTCACAAGACCTTGAGACTATTTTAGCATGTTTCTGGAATATTCCATCGCATGCCACCTAGGGGAGGCCCCAGTGGCTATGCCATTTCTCAGGGAAACTAGCAGTTTCATAGGTCCTGGGTTTACAATGACAGCAGGTTTCAGACCTATTAATGGGCAGTTATTGGTTGTATCATAATGGATCATGGCCTTGCATGGCTCATAGCAGGCCACAGGAATGTCCTATTATAGCCAGACTGGTGAGCATTGTTGAAGCCCCCTGTGGTATTCTGTTATAACAGGACCTAGGAGTAATGGATTATGGTGGGACCTCAGGGTCTTGTAACAGGTCCCGTTGGCGGTTGCAATATTCAGGTGATATTATAGCCAGCCCAGGGGTGTTATGTGTGTAGCTGGCACCTGCATTCATTGAACTGGCCCGGAGGTCTGTGAGTAGTCTAGAGAAATGGGACTGGAGCAGCTTCGTGTATTGGAGCAGCCCTGCTGCTGTATTTTAGCGCTGCCCTGAGCCCATCAAGGGAAAATCCTGGGGTCTAACATAATAAGTGCCAGCTCTATGATATATTACAACAGAGACCCACGGATTGTTTCAGGGTAGGTATAGACTCTGCTAGAACAGGGGAGGAGGGTAGAGCTCAGTGGTAGAGCGCGTGCTTAGCATTCACAAGGTCCTGGGTTCAATGCCCAGTAAGTACTTCCAATAAAAATAAATAAGTAAACCTAATTACCTCTCTCCCAAAGCAAACAAATAACTAAAAAGATTTTGCTAGAACATAATTGCAGGACCCTAAGACCATTTGAGAAAAGTTTTAGGGGCATAGCAAACCAGTCCAGTGTCATTCATTATTGGCTTCATTCATTCTGCAAAGGCTTTCTTGTGCTAGCCCCTGAGGAGGTAGGAGTGAGCAAGACAGATCCAGGAGCTGGTGTCTGAGAGTTTACGATCTACTGTGATGCTGGGGACCTCAACAGCTTCGTGGAGGGGGTGCATTAAGGGGAACAGGTTACTCCCATACCCTGCTACGTGCCCTGTACCACTGAGGTAGGTACAATTATTACCCATTTCTCAGATAAAGAAACGGAGACTCAGAGAAGCCCACCTGGAAGAGGCAGGATTGGTGGAGTTTTTGTTTTGTTTTTAGGCTTTGGTTTTGAACCCAGGTGTAATTGCCTCATGGGGTCAGTAGGGGGCACTAAGGGGGCACTACAGTGCAGGGACAGAGAGGAGAGGCGGATATGAAGATGGCCCTTCAGGGAGACAACGCAGAGCTGCCTGGGGCCATTTGTAGTCCTCAGTCCCCAGGGACCGAGGCAGCTTCAGGCGAGGGTTTTCCAGGCAGCCAGAGC